GTCTGATTGATTGTTAGTGTCTTAGTGACTGTCAGTGTCTGAATGTTAGTGTCTGAGTGACTGTCAGTGTCTGAGTGACTGTTAGTGTCTGAGTGATTGTTAGTGTCTGAATGTTAGTGTCTGAGTGACTGTTAGTGTCTTAGTGATTGTTCGTATGTGATTGACTGTTAGTGTCTGTCTGTTAGTGGATGAATGTTAGTGTCTGATTGACTGTTAGTGTCTGAATGTTAGTGTTTGAGTGACTATTAGTGTCTGTCTGACAGTGGCTAAATGTCAGTGTCTGATTGATTGTTAGTGTCTTAGTGACTGTCAGTGTTTGAATGTTAGTGTCTGAGTGACTGTCAGTGTCTGATTATTAGTGTCTGAGTGACTGTCAGTGTCTGAATCTTAGTGTCTGAGGGACTTTTAGTGTCTGAATGTTAGTGTCTGAGTGACTGTTAGTGTCTGACTGTTAGTGTCTGAGTGACTGTCAGTGTCTGAGTGACTGTCAGTGTCTGATTCTTAGTGTCTGAGTGACTGTCAGTGTCTGAATCTTATTGTCTGAGTGACTTTTAGTGTCTGAATGTTAGTGTCTGAGTGACTGTTAGTGTCTGACTGTTAGTGTCTGAGTAACTGTTAGTGTCTGAATGTTAGTGTCTGAGTGACTGTCAGTGTCTGAGTGACTGTTAGTGTCTGAGTGACTGTTAGTGTCTGAATGTTAGTGTCTGAGTGACTGTTAGTGTCTGAGTGATTGTTAGTGTCTGAATGTTAGTGTCTGAGTGACTGTTAGTGTCTTAGTGATTGTTCGTATGTGATTGACTGTTAGTGTCTGTCTGTTAGTGGATGAATGTTAGTGTCTGATTGACTGTTAGTGTCTGAATGTTAGTGTTTGAGTGACTATTAGTGTCTGTCTGACAGTGGCTAAATGTCAGTGTCTGATTGATTGTTAGTGTCTGAGTGACTGTTAGTGTCTGAATGTTAGTGTCTGAGTGACTGTCAGTGTCTGATTGTTAGTGACTGAGTGACTGTTAGTGTCTGAATCTTAGTGTCTGAGTGAGTGTCAGTGTCTGAGTGACTGTTAGTGTCTGAATCTCAGTGTCTGAGTGACTGTTAGTGTCTGAGTGACTATCAGTGTCTGATTCTTAGTGTCTGAGTGACTGTTAGTGTCTGAATCTTAGTGTCTGAGTGAGAGTCAGAGAGCTGGTATTGCCTGCAATTCTAAAAGTGCCAAATCAATTTCTATTAAAATCTGCAATATTTTACATTGTCAAAAAAAATGAAACGAAACGATGCATTCTTACAGATTCTACATAATACCACAATATTATATTTTTTAGGCACCACATACCGGGGAGCCTGGGAGGAATGGCGGGTAACACTACGGTTCTCGAACAGATATTCCACACCTCGCCCAGCTGCGATGCCTGGAACCTCATCATGGAGAGGGCCCTATACCATCTGGCATGTTTCATCTTGCTGCTGGCGTACATGGGTGGAAGCGGCATCTTCGGTTGCATCTTTATCTTCCTACTGATGGCCCTGGGCTGTTTGTGTACAACAATGTGGGGCTGGCTGCTGGCCTGTGGCCTAGATATATTTGTATGGAACCTTCTGCTGACGTTTGCCTGCATTGTTCAGGTCTCCCACCTCCTATACAGGCTACGTAAGGAATCCTATGGGGAGGACTACGACTGCTTGTACCAGACCTTGTATCATCCCCTGCAAGTTCCCATTGATGTCTTCAAAGAGATCGCACAATGCAGCAGCATGCAGGTCCAGACACTAAGCACTGACCAGAGTTACGCTCTAGAGGGGAAGACACCTATTGACCGCCTGTCTCTTCTCATCTCCGGCAGGTGAGTTCCATAACTGCTGTCATTTTATAACCTCTATTCGAAAGAAAAAAAGAGTTCTTACTTTGTCCTTCCTGGTAAAACACTTTAATTATTCTCATTTAAAGCTTCACAGCTCATGTGGTAAAGCAGAGGGAGTGACTGTAGCGGACTCTGGGTAACCTGACCGGTTACCTCCGCTAACTCCCTTCCTTCAGCCTGCCAGGAACCACGTAAAATACAACAAGACCCATTCCCCCTTTCCTCCCCCCCCCAGTAACTGGAAAAGACCTAGTTCTGGAGACACAACAAAATTTTATTGGCGACACGCAGCTTTTATGCATACCCCATGCAAGGGGTGTATCACACAAAACATACAAGGTCACCTCCCAGGATCCTCTCCCACCCCGGGGTCCCTAGCGCGGTAAAAGACTCTGTTCCCTTTGTCCCCAAGCCCGCCACTAAATCCCCAGGGTTTCCCATATCAACCGCCAGGGGTCTTCTTCCCAAGAGCCTCTGTGTCTGGGAGTCTAGGTGCGGGAAAAAAGGGGCCGTCCCTTTGTCTCCCAGGCACAGAAAAGCCTACCCGCGGGGAAAGAGCTGGTTTCTTTGCCCCTCAGGCCATATCAACCGCCAGGGGTCTTCTTCCCAAGAGCCTCTGTGTCTGGGAGTCTAGGTGCGGGAAAAAAGGGGCCGTCCCTTTGTCTCCCAGGCACAGAAAAGCCTACCCGCGGGGAAAGAGCTGGTTTCTTTGTCCCTCAGGCCATATCAACCGCCAGGGGTCTTCTTCCCAAGAGCCTCTGTGTCTGGGAGTCTAGGTGCGGGAAAAAAGGGGCCGTCCCTATGTCTCCCAGGCACAGAAAAGCCTACCCGCGGGGAAAGAGCTGGTTTTTTTATTTGTCCCTCAGGCTCATGAGGGCCCGCCAAACTCGCCAGTGTCCCAAAAGTGCCCACACCAATCTCAGGGACCCTCGCCTTGGTCCCCCGATTGGCTAATCTCCATATGCGAGGTCCCCAGGGTGAAACCCAGACAAGGAAAGTGTCTTCATTTGGGGTCCTAGCGCGGTAAGAGACTCTGTTCCCTTTGTCCCCAAGCCCGCCACTAAATCCCCAGGGTTTCCCATATCAACCGCCAGGGGTCTTCTTCCCAAGAGCCTCTGTGTCTGGGAGTCTAGGTGCGGGAAAAAAGGGGCCGTCCCTTTGTCTCCCAGGCACAGAAAAGCCTACCCGCGGGGAAAGAGCTGGTTTCTTTGTCCCTCAGGCCATATCAACCGCCAGGGGTCTTCTTCCCAAGAGCCTCTGTGTCTGGGAGTCTAGGTGCGGGAAAAAAGGGGCCGTCCCTTTGTCTCCCAGGCACAGAAAACCTACCCGCGGGGAAAGAGCTGGTTTCTTTGTCCCTCAGGCTCATGAGGGCCCGCCAAACTCGCCAGTGTCCCAAAAGTGCCCACACCAATCTCAGGGACCCTCGCCTTGGTCCCCCGATGGGCTAATCTCCATATGGAAGGTCCCCAGGGTGAAACCCAGACAAGGAAAGTGTCTTCATTTAGGGTATGAATGCTCCCCCTGGCCACCACTCATCCATACGAACGGCTGCCACCCAGGGAGGCACTCATTAATTACTTACCTTGCGGTTTCACACCTATATTGCGAGTGCAAGCAGTCTGATTAATTGGTGTGAACGTTCTAATAGGGCACGAGGAGGTCCCAAATGAGGCGGGAAACATTCCACGAATGCTCCCCCTGGCAGGGTTCGACTTTACGAATGGCGGCCACCCAGGGAAGCACTCATTAATTGCTTCCCTTGCAGTTTGCAGTTTTGACACTTGTTGTGAGGTGTGAACATTCTAACCTAACATTCTAATCGTGGTAGTGGGGGTTGTCCCTGTTCAGGAGGTGAATGAATTCCCTTCATGGCAACGGGGAGCAGGGTACAGTACAGATACTACAGGAAAACACACGGACAGAGTTTCTGCCACAGTGACCAATCGGAATGTTTGCCATTTTAGAAGACTTCTCAATAGAACAAATACCTACTTTATTGATGACTCAAGTGACAGGGTATTTAAATACTTGAGACAAGGATTGCAGAAATAGCGAATTTAAAGATGAGCTTCAAAAATTAATATCTGTCCGTACATACAACGTAAGGTTTCAATATTGTGCATTTCTACCTTGGTTAGACTCGGGATAGAGGCGACACATGGACATGCATTAGGAAATTAAATAAAACTGGCAAATGAAGCAAATTAACTAAAAAAAAATATAACATATGAACATGATTTGAGGTCAGTAGATGGTAAACCGAAGGCTAATATGAGAATATAATTTTTTTAGGTTTCACGTGCAGTTCATTGAAAGAATAATGGTGGAACCTCATGTCATAGAAAGCCTTCTAGAGTCATGGGTGCTGCAATACCATCCAGTCTTGATAGAGGTCTGAAGGATCCAAGGACTTCAAAATGAATTTCAATGTTTAGGCCCTAATAAAACATGGAGAACTGTGAAACTATTCTGAGAATTTTATGGCGGCCAAATTACTTGTTGTGTAGTTGTGGGAGTTGTTTAATGTTTTAAAAGGCACTCTCAACCGCAAACAATGACAAGACCCTTCCACGTACACATGTCCCCTTGAATGGTGATTCTGGGCAAGGTTAGCAATGAGGAGAGTTTATTGCCCCAAACTCTCCATTCTCACTGTCTCCATGACCTTCTTCATTCATCATCTATTCATCATCTGGCACCTTCATCTGCCGGGATCCATGTCACTCAAGTATCCTTGCGCATTTGCCAAACTATAAAACAGGGGTCTATAGAAGATCCCATGAGACCTAAGGATCCATCATAGATTTAGTTGCGCACGGAAACCCGGGACTGACTGGTCACAGGAAGTGTCAGGATATTTCACAGGGAGTGACACCCATTGCTAAATTTCACTGACTTTTAGTCCATAGTTCTAACGCAGTCTATGTGAGTTTTTCATCACTATTCAATGTTTATTAAACAATGTGTGGAGGTCAGAGATATGTATGTCCTCTAGGTTCTTTTATGAGAAGCATCTAATAAAATAGATATTAAAAAAATATATATATTAGGACAGCAATATTAAGGCATGCCCACCTCTCCGATGCCCCATTATATATTTCTATTATATATGTAATAGAGGTATACATTCTAACACAATCCTTTCCATTTTCCTATTTGTTTGCGTAGTGAGGTTATTAAAGAATCTCATTACTACCATAAAGAGTATCGAAGCGTTGCTGGGTCCATCAATCGTGACTCGGATCAATAAAATAGATCAGTGAACCCTGAGTCTGAGTAACTTTATTTTATGCTGGGTTTCGGGGCAGGAGCCCAACCTTCAGCACCTTTTTGTCACAATACTTACCTGTTCAATGGAGACAAACCGATCCCGTCCTCAGGTCACGCAAGCCGAACGCTCCACGCAGCCGAGTGGCTAGAAATATTCAAAGGCTAATAAGATGTAACTGTGTTTGTGTTTTACCCAGGGTGAAGGTGACTCTGGATGGGCAGTTCCTGCATTATATTTTCCCATACCAGTTCCTGGACTCTCCGGAATGGGAATCTCTGCGCCCCTCTGAAGAAGGGACATTCCAGGTAATATCACAAAATATGCCTGCTGAAATACAGTCTACAATCACTAGACCGCAGTCTGAGAGAGAGAGAGAGAGAGAGAGAGAGAGAGAGAGAGACAGAGGGAGAGAGAGAGTGAGAGGGAGAGAGAGAGTGTGAGAGAGGGGGGAGACAGAGGGAGGGAGAGGGAGAGAGAGAGAGAAATATGGGGAGACATATGAGAGAGAGAGACTGGACATATAAGTGCATTATGGGAAAATAATGGCAACTTGGGTTTCTGAAATCAATATAAACTATATCTCCTGGCAGAGATCTGGATCTGGGACTAGGGCTCAATCAACCAAAATGGGCCAGTGATAAGGGGGAGATGACAAGAGGTGGACCTGCCCATAAAGTGAGTGGACACCCGAAAACCAGGCGTGTCAGCCTCCCGTGCTTCTACTCCCATCATACACTGCATCCACGGATTCTATTTCCATCACTCACTGCATCCGCAGATTCCACTCCCATCACTCACTGCATCCGCAGATTCCACTCCCATTACTCACTGCATCCGCAGATTCCACTCCCATCACACACTGCATCCACGGATTCTATTCCCATCACTCACTGCATCCGCAGATTCCACTCCCATCACACACTGCATCCACGGATTCTATTCCCATCACTCATTGCATTCTGCAGATTCCACTCCCATCACTCACTGCATCTGCAGATTCCACTCCCATCACACACTGCATCCACGGATTCTATTCCCATCACTCATTGCATTCTGCAGATTCCACTCCCATCACTCACTGCATCTGCAGATTCCCCCCCATCACACACTGCATCCACGGACTCTATTCCCATCACTCACTGCATCCGCAGATTCCACTCCCATCACACACTGCATCCACGGATTCTATTCCCATCACTCATTGCATTCTGCAGATTCCACTCCCATCACTCACTGCATCCGCAGATTCCATTACCATCACACACTGCATCCGCAGATTCTGTCCCCTTTCCTTCCCAGTTTTAGTCTCCAGAAAATTCATTCGGTTTTATGAAACTTTCCTCCTTCCAGCCATTATCTCACCCTTCCCATGACCTACACTCTAATTCCATTCTGTTTCCCATCTCCTGACACTACGCTCACTGACTGACGGCTGATTATGTGGCTAATGATAGCTATATGGCATTTCCTTGTTCCTTCACCTTGCGGCTCTTGCTTAGTTTAGTTATGGGAATAATTCCAGATCTGCATTGCTGATCTCTGCTGTCTGTACTGCAAGTTATTTTCATTACTGTGTCTGTCCCCAGCCTGTGCTGTCTCTCTTAACGTGACATTACAATGAGATTAACAGAGTTACAGAGTAATACAGCTGACACAAGACTCCGCTCCGTCACGCTCAGCCTCTTACATAGCTCAGATTTCTCCTCCAGAAAATCCAAACATCTGGAAAGTCTGATAAAACAACCTCTTTAGGCAGAGAATTCCTATCTTTACTGTCCTTGCTGTAAAACACCATAAATGGTGAGCAGAGAGCTATTTATAACGAGACTATATGTATATATTTATCACTTTTTTTTCTAAAGAACATTCATTTTCAATTATTGCTTTATCACTAAAATCTTCCATTCCCCTTATTATTATTATTGTAGTCTGCCTCTGCGCTTTTTGTACTTTCATCAGGGACGTATTAGCCGCGAGGCAAACAAGGCATTTGCCTTGGGCGGCATTTTTCAGGGGGCGGCAAAAAAGCCGCCCCTAAATGCCCAGGGCAAATGCCTAGTTAGCCTTGCGGCTAACAGACATGCTGGGCTGGGCTGAGCGGGCGGGCGGCGAGGGAGCTCTTCCCCTGAGCTGTCCGCTCAACTCCCTCGCGCGCCGCAAAGTGAGGCTGGGAGCCGGAATATGACGTCATCTTCCGGCTCCCAGCCTCACTCTGCTGGCGGCACGAGAGGGAGCTGAGTAGAGCGCTCAGGGGAAGAGCTCCCTCGCCGCCCGCCCGCCCAGCGCCGCCCGCCCAGCCCGACCGGCAGCCACTGGACCCCAGGACCCCAGGGAGAGGAAGAACCCCCCTAGCATTCCCAAAGGTAAGGAGGCTGTGGGGGGTTAAATAAAAAAAAAAAAACACAAGTGAATGTGTGTGTGTGTATCTGTTAGTGTGTGTGTGTGTGTGTATCTGTTAGTGTGTGTGTGTGTGTTGTTGAGTGTGTGTGTGTTGGTGTGTGTGTCTGTTGGTGTGTGTGTGTCTGTTGGTGTTGGGTGTGTGTGTTAGGTGTTAGATGTGTGTCTGTTAGTGTGTGTGTGTGTGTGTGTCTGTTAGTGTGTGTGTCTGTTAGTGTGTGGCTCTGTTAGTGTGTCTGTTAGTGTGTGTGTGTCTGTTAGTGTGTGTGTGTATGTTAGTGTTAGTGTGTGTGTGTCTGTTAGTGTTAGTGTGTGTGTGTCTGTTAGTGTGTGTGTGTTTGCCTGTTAGTGTGTGTCTGTTAGTGTGTGTCTGTTAGTGTGTGTGTGTTTGCCTGTTAGTGTGTACCTGTTAGTGTGTGTCTGTTAGTGAGTGTGTGTTTCTGTTAGCTAGTGAATGCGTATCTGTCAGTGAATGTGTGTGTGTGTATTTAGAAGGCGGAGCAGGGGGGAAGGGTTGGGTGGCGGTTGCGCGGGTGGGTGTAGCACAGGGGGGTGCCTGAGTTTTGTCCTGCCTAGGGCAGCACAAAACCAGGATACACCACTGACTTTCATATTATACTTCTTTAAAGCTGGTGTATAAAATGTCACTGCATGTGGGAGGTGGGGATTTACCATGGGTTTATAAAAGGGCAAAATTATATTTTCATTACATCAATACAATATATTACTGGCCTTTATAACTGCTGACTGACATTGCACAGTGTTGCCTAGTCTATAATTTTGACAAAATCCTTCTCATTTACTATCACGCCTAACTCAGTCCCCCTTACAGTCAGGGTTGTATTTACCACAAGGCAAACAAGGCATTTGCCTAGGGCGGCACTTTCAGGGGGGCGCCAAAAAAGGCCAAATGCCTTGTTTGTCTTGTGTCCTGGGGCTGTTCTGCCCCCCTCCCCCTGAGGTGTTAAACTACTGATATTCCTCAGGTGTGTGTGCGGCCCAGGGGTCCACAAACCCCATTTTCCCAAATCTTTCTGTAGACAGGGATGCTGTATAAACACTAGCGTCGCCCTCAATTTGTAAATCCACGAACGGTGTCTCTGAGCTGCTTTACCTCGCACTAGGACTCCATCCCACCGCTTGCCACCAATGTAACGGATCACCTGGCACCCCGACTGGGTACCTTGTTGAAGGATGCTCGTAGCGCTTCCTGAGGGCTCCAAGCACTCCAGCTGACACCATAACCACCGTTGACTCCTTCAGAGAGCAGGACAGGAACAAGCTCTTACAAGATTTAGCAAGGGAGTATGACAAGCACAGCAATCCCTTGTAGCAGATTCCCCCAATAAGAGACGGCACTCCAAATTGAGGTTGAAGTAGAACTGACAGAACTGTGGGTTTATTGTTCTTATATACATATTCTTACACATTAGTACCACTCACAGGGTTTTGTAAAACAACCAATAAATATATACAATACACTCAGACACTCCCACACAAAATCCTCCCCTCTGCCTTTGATACAATTACCTTACACAATGGGTTATCATAATTATCACAGGCAGGAAAATACACAGTTTTACACAATATTCATAACTTTAAAAGTATGCATCACATTCACTTTAAAAGTATGCATCACATTTTCAGAATCAGCATACTCCAAATACACACATACGTCAAAATCATACAAATTGGTCCAGTGGGTCAAAAGTTAGATCGACGTCCTTTGTGACCAAATTAAGCAAAACCAGTTCCACAGAGTCTTCTATCCTGGAGATAACTGTGAAGTAATCCAATTATCTCCAAGGACAGAGGCAAAACTCCATTGAACACATGGTAGCAAAAGACAATAAAATACATAAAAATATATAACTGAGCAGCTATTGCATAAAACAGGTACATTCAACATATCCCCAGATAGCTTAGGTCTGAGCGCACATTATTACTGAATGGCGCTCAGATAACATACATACAGTTCAATTGTCATGGAGCCAAAGTCTTTCACATAGTCTTTCGTTATACGAATGGGCTCCATGGCATAGCTATCTGTGGTATCACCGCTCACATAGGGAAAGTACCGAATGACCTGGCTTTCGGGTCTTTGCAGGGGAAAATCCAGCATTTCAACATGGGACCATAGTCTCAGGGCAGGAGGCTGGCAATCAGTCTTCTCCAATGCCCAGTGACAAGGCTGGTTCCACCACATGCGCTATCTCCCCAGGGCCTGAACAAACCCTCAGGGACTGGATATACCATCCAATATGAACTTTTTTTAACAACACTCTGCATTCAGTCTTTAAAGGCACACTCTAGTCTAGGGTCCTGAATTATTGCTGTAGATTTTGGGGTCCCCCGATCCCTTAAAACAGAAGTTCTATTCCCCTAATCCAGAGGTGTGAGGGTGAAAACTGCACATCTCCTCCTCTCCGTCCCGGGGAGATCTTCACAAGCGAGGATCTCTCAGTGAATACATTGGTTCCTATTGGGAGAACTGGGGTTCTATGGTACCTGCTCAGCAATAGCCACGCTTTGCCAATAGAATGATTCTCACAGAGCAGCTTAGAATCATTGCATCTTTATGAGATGCCCCCACATCCGCACTCTCCCGGCTGTCAGTCAATGGGGCTACCTAGGAGCTTTAGAAATGTGCCAGTAGCAGCAGGTTGGAGTATTCCCTGAAACCAATGTGAACCAAGAACAAACATTTCCATCGAAACCAATTGCTTCTAAGTTCTACAGTAATTATTTGTGAGGAATCTTAACGAAATCACATCCTCTGCTTCTGCAACACCCTGTCCTCTGCTCTGCAACACCCTGTACTTTGCTCTGCAGCGCCCTGTCCTCTGCTCTGCAACGCCCTGTCCTTTGCTCTGCAACGCCCTGTCCTCTGCTCTGCAACGCCCTGTCTTTTGCTCTGCAACGCCCTGTCCTCTGCTCTGCAACGCCCTGTCCTCTGCTCTGCAACACCCTGATTTGTTCTGTAATAACTGCTTCATAAAACACAATTAAGTTAAGCTGTCCTTGTATGTACGTAGCGGGGAATTACGATGCCACATAAACATAAATAACCCCTATCAACCCTCCCAATAACGACAGACCCCTTAGTATGGATGAAACAGGCCACAGCATTTATCACAAACTAAATTACTGCATAACACATCCATAACTTTATTTATTAAAGCTCTTCTTTTTCTGGTCACCAAAAACGTTAGACATAAATAAGCATAAATTAACATATATACATATATAACTCCACACATAGTGTTATACAGTGACCCAACCGTCCTTGCCAATAAACATACAGTGGTTCCAAATCACCACTTCCTCTCACCTCCCTCCTCGTCATAAAATCATATCTTTCCAATGCCCGCCATCAGCCGACCTTATCCACGCTCGATGGGCACGACACCTCAGGCAACCTAATGTTAACCGTTTGAAGCAGGGGAGGTGTAGAACATAAAAACTTACTCCATCCTTAAACATAACCCTTCAAACTTAATTGGCAAGGACATACGCCCGGCTCGCTGTGACTAACTAACTAATCCTACAAGGGGTGGGTGGGCGGGAAGCTGTCTGCTGGCCCGAATCCCAAGTGGCACTGACACTAACTCACACTAATCCTAACCCCTCCCACACACACTTCCCAAGACACTTCCCTGCATCTATCCCCACACTCCTACATGTGCCCTTGTCCGCTTAGCTGCGCTATCTCCCCAGGGCCTGATCTTATAAATCCACGTTGATTCCTGCTAATGATATTGTTCACAATAAATTCCTGATTGTGATTTTTTGGTTCCCATCAGGGACGGACTGACAGTGGCCTGGGCCCCCGGGCAAAATGAGCACCTGGGCCTCCAGCAGACGGATATATATGCTGGTGTAGCTTGGTTGCTTCATCTAAGTGTTGCTTCTAAGTGTGTAGTTGGAGATATTCTGGAGAGTGCTGTTTCTAAGTGTGTAGTTGGAGATATTCTGGAGAGTGTTGCTTCTAAGTGTGGGGTTGGAGATATTCTGGAGAGTGTTGCTTCTAAGTGTGGGGTTGGAGATATTCTGGAGAGTGTTGCTTCTAAGTGTGTGGTTGGAGATATTCTGGAGAGTGTTGCTTCTAAGTGTGTGGTTGGAGATATTCTGGAGATAACCTGGAGGTAATCTGAGGTATTCAGGAGGATAAATACAAAGTTAAGATTTGTTTGATTTAAATTATTCTCCTAATTGGAATGGCAGACTTAGTTCAGTGTAATAGTTGCTATGCATTTGTTTCACGTTCCACTTTTTGGAGGTTTGGTTGTTGTCTAATCTGTAGACAGTTCTCTATCTTGCGGCAGGAGATTGTATTTTTGAAGTCTGAGATTTGTAAATTATCTGGTGAACAAACTCAGACTGGAACTGCTGCAAAGCCACTGCCGCAGAGACATACTAGGAAAGGCAGATGGATTACTGTAGGATCTGGTAGTTGTGGATAAAATGCATTTTGCACAGTCTGTTGCTCTACATAATTCATTTTCTGCACTTTCAGAGTGTAATGGTGTTGTGGAGAGAGGCACTGAGGCTAGTGGTGTTGTGGAGAGAGCCACTGAGGCTAGTGGTGTTGTGGAGAGAGGCACTGAGGCTAGTGGTGTTGTGG